CTGGTCTGTCCACTTCACGGGTCTGACCATTTCAAGGGTCTGACCACTTCACTGGTTTCTCCACTGCACGGGTCTGACCATTTCACTGGTCTGACCATTTCATTGGTCTACCCATTTCATGGGTCTGACTAATTCGAGTAATATAACCGTCTGACCAAAAAATTCGACTTTCATTAACTATCTTTCTGAAAATCTCTATTTTTCACCTAAAACCCTAATTTTTCTAACCCAAACGACTCGAACATTACTCTATTGGAGTTTAAACCCGAAACAAACACATAAACACAAAGACAAAGAGAGGACGAACGACGCAATCAATTTTTTCGGTGAGTGTACCATACCTGTAGATCTTCTGAAGTAGAAACCGAAGCAGTAACCGAAGGAGAAGCCAAAGATGAAGCCATTTGTGCCGACAGAAGACGATTTTGTAAGAAGAACCCGAGAGATTTGCGCGATTGAAGAAAGAAACCGGATGAGAGGAGAAGACGTTCGTCCGTTCGTGTTTGTTTGTTTGAAAATTTGGAAACACAGAGAGTTGTTGTCGTTTCCTGCTTTCCATTGAGTTGCCACGTATTCAATATTTTAAGGGCAAATTAGTCTTTTTATCATTTTAGATTTTTTTTTTAAAACCCTAAACCTAGAGGGTCATGTCGTGAAGTCCAAATCGACAAGTTGGGTTATTTTTGCAATTTTGCCAGTCAAACTAGTTAAAAAGTCACGTGGTCATCATAGTTACACTGATCGCATTTGAATGGCATAACCAGTTTGACGAGTTTGACTAATGTGATAAAATTAGTCAAACTAGTCACACTAGTCAAACAAAACTAACAATGAGAGTTTAATTTATTTTTGTAGGTTCTATTTGCATATGATTTAAAGAACATTTATCAGTCTCTCAGTGATACTCTTTTTAATAAATTATACTTAATCATGTTTACTCTACGGATATAATTTTAATCATATGTATTTAATTGGGTCAAAACTTTATACACCAAATTGAACCTTCAAAACTTAATTTAGATCAACTTTTTTTTTCATAAATCATCGCACCGTCAAACTCGTCGCACCGTCAGACCCGTCAAACCGGACGTACCATATTGAATTTTGCGATTTTATCACTTTCAAACTGTAAAACATATTGATAATCACCCCATATAATAAGTATCTTAAGTTAAAAATAATCATATCTCTCTAATTTTAACGCATTTATCTTTTTACAATGCATGTTCTCTCAAAAAAACCATTTACACCATGTTTGAAAGTGACAATGCATATTTAACACATTTTATCTAAGTTACAAATAATACATTTCAAACTATAAACATTTTATCTTTTGTAATATATTGATATAGGGTAGAAAATATTTTTTCCACTTGAATTATAATTAACAAAAAATAATAACTTTCATAAGTAACAAATAATTGCAGCTCTATAAATTTAGCACCTTATTTTTTTTACAATGCATGTTTTTCCAAACAAAAGCCAAAGTTCTAGTACACTTTTTATAATACATTAGTTTAGGATATAATATATTATTTTTCCGCATGATTTACGAATAACAAAAACACGTTAAATACATCATACTAGTCCCTATATACCACATTGAACCTTAGAAATTTAATTTAGAACATCATTTGACCAGTTTGACTCGTTGCACCGTCAAACTCGTCACACCGTCAAACTCGTCAAACTCGTCGCACCCTCACGAATTTCACAAATTTATCATTTTCACACTATGAACATGTTAATAAACACCTCGTATAACAACTTTCATAAATAACAAATAATCGCAACTCTCTAAATTTAACACCTTATTTTTTTTACTATCCATGTTCTCCCAAATGAAACCTCAAAGTTCTAGTACACTTTTTGTAACACATTGGTTTAGGGTAGAATATATTATTTTCTCTCATGATTTACGAATAACAAAAACACGTTAAATACGTCATAATAGCTCTTATATACCACGTTGAACCTTAGAAAATTAATTTAGAATATCATTTGACCAGTTTGACTCGTCGCACCGTCAAACTCGTCACACCGTCAAACTCGTCGCACCCTCACGAATTTCAAAAATTTATTATTTTCACACTATGAACATATTAATAAACAACCCGTATAACAACTTTCATAAATAAAGAATAATCGCAACTCTCTAAATTTAGCACCTTATTTTTTTTACTATCCATGTTCTCCCAAAAGAAACCCCAAAGTTCTAGTACATCTTTTGTAACACATTGACTTGTGGTAGAATATATTATTTTCTCTCATGATTTATGAATAACAAAAATACGTTAAATACGTCATAATAGCCTTTATATACCACGTTGAACTTTAAAAATTTAATTTAGAACATCATTTGACCAGTTTGACTCGTCGCACCGTCAAACTCGTCGCACCCAAAAGCCAAAACTCCAAACAAGTGTGGTTAAACCCGAAACCCCAAACGAGTGTGACTAGTTTGACGATTCTTACGAGTATGACCGTTTCGAAGAGTTTGACTAGTTTAACTGATTTGATGTGTTAGATTATTTGACCACGATTCATTCATGGAACTTTATGATCAATTTAATTGGTGTGGATCATGGTAATGTTGATTTTAACTCATTTATATCTGTATAATACGACATTATATTGATATATGTTTCGTTTTTTTTTCATTTATATCATATAAATCAAATATAAATATAAAAACAAAATAAACCCTAAATGTCCAAAATAAAAAAATGAATTTTAGAATGAATTATTGCTTATTAGATGAAAATTTTAGAGATTTCTTTTATTTTTCCAATTAATTAACCAAGAAATCATTTGAAAGAATAAAAATTTGAAGAGAGAGCTTAACTAGAGGATAACGTAACAGAGGAGAGAGAAATAAAAGAAAGAGAGAACCAGAGAGAGGAAAGAGAGAATGAGAGAGAGAGAAGAGAGAGAAATAAAAAACACTTATTTATATAATTATATTAAATGAAAAAGTAGAGGGTATTATAGGAAATGTATATTTATAAAGGTATTTATGATAGTGTCATTTTTTTTCTTTTATGCGAGGGTATAGCTTGAAGTCCAATGTATAGGGTATTTTTGCCATTGTCCCGATTCTACATTTATAGGGTATATCTGATTATCGTTTTTTGTTACTGTTTGATGGTGGACTGTAAGACTAAATACGGTATTTTTGCAATTGCCCCACGTAGATGGATTACAGAGAGATCTACTGCGAGGTTTCATGGCGGTTGCTGCAGACAATGACGGGACAATTTCCCGAAGGCAAATGTTCTGCAGGGAAGATTGTACGGACGGGGACGATGAGAGTAAGATCGAGCTGAATCTGGGTTTGTCGCTCGGAGGCAGATTCGGTGTGGATAAGACTCCGGGCAAGCTCAAGCGATCGTCTTCGATCGCGGGCACGATGCCGGTTCTCTTGGAACAGAACTAGTCGGCGGCTCAGCCGTCGGATTCCACGTACACGGCGGGTTTAACGAGATCGACGTCGTTGCCGACGGAGATGGATGAGGAATGGAGGAAGAGGAAAGAGATGCAGAACTAAGAAGAATGGAAACTAAAAGGAGGAGATGTGAGAAACAGAAAACTCCCGAGACAATGCTCCGGCGATTTCGGCGACGGCGGAGGAAGAAATGGTAATTCCTCGAGATTGTCCGATCTGGACAGCAAGAATCAGCAAGGTAGTATACTCGATGAAGATTCTAAAATAGCTTCTTTCTCTCTCTATTGATCATTATTGTTGTCTTCGTATAATCGCAGGATGTTCCTCCCAGGAGAGGAGCAGTCATGAAACGAACCAGAGCCAAACCAGACGAGACAGAGAAACAGCCGAGGGGACATAACTCCATGGACAAGGGAAGAGCTGCAGAGTTGGAGATGCCTTATGTCTTCACGAAAGGGGAGGGACCGAATGGGAGAAGGGTACAAGCGGTTCTGTACAAGTACAGAAAGGGAGAGGAGCGAGTGAGGAGGGGCAATTGCAAAAATGCCCTTAAATGATACATGGGACTTCAATGGATACCCTTCATAAAAAAAAAAGAAAAGAGACAACATCAAATATAACCTTATAAATGTAGTTTCCCTATAATACCCTTTATTAATTTATATAATATAATAAAATAAAAATATTTCTCTCTCTTCTCTCCACCTCTCTCTCTCCCGCTCTCTCTCTCCTTTCTTCCGTTTTTTCGCGCCTGTATCACGCTCTCTCTCTCTCTCTCTTCGAGCTCCTCCTCTACAGTGTGAAATTCTCACCAAATTTGTTGAGAAAAACAAGCGAAATCTCCAATAATCTCATCCAATAAGCATAGATCTCGTGTATAGGTAAGTTTTCTTCTTTAAATTCCGTTATATACTTTGGGCATTTAGGGTTTTTCTTTTTATGAAAGGGTTTTGTTGTTTTCATGTTTATATTCGACCCATATGGTATAAATGAGTAAAATGGAACATATATATCAATAGCATATCGTATTTTGTAGACTTAATTGAGTTGAATCAATATTATCATGATTCACATTAGTCAAACTGGTCACATTAGTTAAACTATATCAAACTGGTCAAACTCTTCGAAATAATCAGAATCGGCAAACTCGTCTAACCGGTCATATTGACGAAGCTGGTCAAACTGGTCATACTCGTCAAACTGGTCATACTCGTCAAACTGGTCATCATATATCTCACATTTTGTGTTTATTTTATACAGTCATAATGGATGCAAGTGATGAAAGAATGACGATTATTTATTACAAGTCTGGTGGCAAGTGGACATTGAATTCGAGTGGAGAATATGAATGGGATGGAAAAGTTAAAGATGCCAAAGGAGTGATATTCCTTTTTCCTCCGACTGATTTGACATACAAACTTCTTGTTGAAGAGTTATATTCTGAGCTGGACGTAGATAAAGATAAAACAACTATCAAGCTAAGTTACTTGCCGACTATAAAAGGAAATAGTGAGCCGATTTACATATCGAATGATATCAAGTGTTTGTTTATCTCATGGACAAAATAAACGGAGGAAGGAGCATGCTTCACGTGGAGATTGAAAAAGTAAAGCTGCGAGTAAGGGGATATGGAAAAGATAACGGTGTGGAATACATTCCTGATTCCATTAGTGGTATTGGTGTTGGACCATATGGGGCTGTACTTTATGCAGGTTATAATAACAATATGATTCAGAGTCCTGATTTGAAAAGTAAAGCTGCGAGTAATACGATACAATTTATAGATGATTCAGATAATGAAGATACTATTGTTGTAGGAGAGGATGCAATTGTTTTGAAAGAGAAATCTGCAATTGATATAGTCCGTGGAACCAACAAAGTCGATTTTGTTGATTGTGATGGTGCTGGAGATGGAGATGGAGATGAAGAGAATAATTTGGCTGTGGTAGCTGCGGATGACACATCGTTTTCTCTTTCAGTATTCAATTTTACTGATGGATTGAATATAGGTATTGGTTATGAGTTTGATAGTAAGGAAGCAGCTCAGGAATATATACGGAAAGGAGCAGTTAAGGCTTGTTTCGGTTATGCTACAGTAAAGTCTGATAAGAAACTGTGGGAATTAAGATGCAAGTTTTATAGATCGGGTTGTGCTTGGAAATTGCGCATCGCAGCGATTCAGAATTCTGTGCGTTTTAGTGTAAGATCACATAATCCCGTTCATACTTGCAGACCAGTATCCGAATCAGAAAAAGCTGTGAAAGGTTCAGCAAAGTTGGTTAGAGATTATTTAAAGGAAGAATACGCTGGTAAGCTTGAAACTCCCACAGCAAAAGAGATAGTAGAACGAGTGCAAGTCAAGTACGGTGCGAGTGTATCATATATGATGGCATTGAGAGGAAAGTACAGTGCTGAAAATGAGATTCGTGGTAATCATGTTGAACATTACAGTAGGCTTCCTGGTTGGTTGCACATGTTGACGGAAAGAAATCTTGGGACTATAGCGAGCATTAAGTTGGAAGATGATAAAAAAACTTTCAAATATCTCTTCATCGCCTTGGGTGCAACTATAAAAGAATGGAACTATATGCGTAAAGTAGTTGCGATTGATGCAACATTTCTGACGAGCCAATATAAGGGAGCATTGATCGTGGCAACTGCCCAAGATGGTGATCATCACCAATATCCTTTAGCTTGGGGTGTGATAGATAGAGAGAAGGATGCTTCATGGTTGTGGTTTGTAACAAAATTAAGCGAAGTAACACCGGATGGTCCTGATGTAGTTGTGCTATCTGACCGACATAAAAGTATAATCAAAGCTGTGAGAGGAGTATACAAACAAGCGCAACATGGCTTTTGTGCGAGGCACATAGCACAAAATTTAAAAGTGCACGTGAACAGAGGCACAAGAAGAAAGGGTTCAAATGGTGAGACCGTCACTAAATTGTTTTTTAAATGTGCAGCAGCCTACACGATCAGTGAGTTTGAAGAGTTGTACAATGATCTAAAGAGCAGGTATGATTTTTGTGATTAATGTGATTGACTAATGTGACCAGTTTAACTAGTATTATTTATGAACTAATGTGAATATATCTCATTATGTGTAGATATCCCAAAGTAGCCGAGTACATGCAGAAAGAAGAACTTGCACCCGAGAAATGGGCAAGGTGTAAATTTAGGAGTGAAAGGTACAACTTGTTAACAACCAATGGGGCCGAATCGATCAACTCCGTATTGAAGAAGGCAAAAAAGTACCCAATCCTTAGTCTACTTGATATTTGTCTCGGAAAGACGGTGGAATGGTTTAACAGATATAGGTTGGAAGCAGGTAGTGCTGATGAATCTCAAAAGTTAACACCAATTGTTTACAAAGAGTTGCATGAACGTTATGAGAAGGCATGTACGTTTGATGTTCAAGAACTGAATCGTGTTACTGGCGAGTTTGAGGTGAGGGATGAAAAAGGTAGAAGACACTTGGTTAATCTTGGAGAAAGAACATGCGGTTGCAGAATGTTTGATGTGGATAGGTACCCTTGCAGTCATGCAATTGCAGCAACACATATGATCGGAAAAGGCGATATGATATACGATCTATGTTCTGAATACTATAGGCGGGATACATGGCGTATGGCTTACCAAGAGACTGTGTATCCGGTTCCTGATTATTGTGATTGGAATCTGCCATCGTTCGTTACAGAAATGACAGTTTTACCCCCTATAGTGGAAGAAAAACGGGTGAGTGGAAGGCCTAAACAGAACCGATTTCCTGGACCTGGTGAGACTCGAAAAAGAAAATCATATTCGGTAGGTTCGGTTAGTACGTCAACGATGTTACAGACGTATGAGTCATGAATTTGTATTTGTATTATATAATACATTTATTATGAATTTGTATTTGAATCATATGATGAAGACTTTGGTGTAATTTGTATTTGTCATGAATTTATATTCGTTTTATATAGTTTGTCATGAATTTGTGTTCGTTTAATATATTCGTCAAACTGGTCAAACCAGTTTGGGGTTTTGGATGAATGTGTGACGAGTTTGACGAGTACTGACGGTGTGACGAGTTTGACGGGTTGACGGTTTGTGAAAACAAATCGTTGGTGTAAATTAAGTTTTGATGGTTCAGTGTGGTGTATAGGGGTCATTATAACATATTTAACGAGTTTTTGTTAACCGTAACTCATGCGAAAAAAAACTATTTCCTACCCTAAGCCAATATGTTAGGAGAACATTATTAGAACTTTAGGGTTTCTTTGGGAGAACATGCATTGTGAGAAACAAAAAGGTCTTAAAATTTGAGAGCTAGATTTAGATTTAGCATAAGATACTTGATGAATGGGATGATAATTGATAAGTTTACAGTTTACAGTAGGCAAATTCGCGAAAATCGATAAGGTGTGACGAGTTTGACGAGTACTGACGGTGTGACGAGTTTGACGGGTACTAACGGTGTGACGAGTTTGACGAGTACTGACGGTGTGATGAGTGTGACGGGTACTGACGGTGTGACGAGTTTGACGGTTTGACGAGTACTGACAATAGTATGAAGATTTTACCCGATAAAATACATATAATTAAAAGGATGTTCATAAGAAATAAACGATAAAAATACAACTAATTAAAGAGGATCATGGGTTCATGAAGAAGAATCTTGACGTTCCTCTGGAGGCACCGTTACTTCGTGTCCATTAGCAAATATATCGCAAGCAAGTTTTTCACGTATAAAATATATTACCTCATCGTTGACGTCCTCTAATAACTTCGGTTCACCCATGTAGAGTGCCTCCGCATATTTGATGCTGTACACGCCACATTCATTTCCTGTTTGGTTCTGAGGTATGCCAGATACAAAGTCGATGGAAAACTTGTTTGAAACGTCAATTCGGCCGATCCCGCTAACCTTGAAGGCATCTGGGATACTTCTGCTTAAGTGATGAATGACTTTAACCGTGGCCTCCTTCGTATTCGGGTTGCAGTCATACACTTCAATCACAGTCCTGGTGAAGTCCACTTTAATAGTGACCCAATGGACTCCTATGTTAGGGTTTGCCAACGACGGAATGTTCAGCACACTGATGAAACCTTTGTAGTGTTCCAATTTCCTGCTACCACCGTCAAGTGGCAAGTCCCCACTCATGTATTGTCCAACACCACCGATTTCTTTTTGCCCCATTTCCCACCATTTGAAGTATTCACAACAACGCACGTCACAGAGGAAGTACTTCCTGTGGCACGGTGAAAATTTTTTTACACGTTTCCGGATTTCGTGCATTGCTTCGTCGATATGCTGTAAAACAAAAAATAAAACAGTCAAACTAGTCAAACCAAATATGAATGGTCAAACAACGAAACTAGTATAATCGGTCAAAATACTTACATTGTCTTTGAGCCATACACCTTCTTGTAGAAAGTCTTCGAAGAATCGTGATTTCCTTACGTGATTCAACCTCGATATCCAAAACCTCTCTTCTCTTGGTTTTTGCATAAACTTGAAGAGCACATTTGCTTTTCTTGTGGTCGTTTCAACAAAAGACTCAGCTCGCACAATATTGTCCATTATTATAGGCTCTCGAGGAATCCATACGTAAACAGGGTGTTTGCGTTGACCAGTAGGAATCTCAGATTCCACCACCGTAGATTGCACCGGGACATCACCATCCAATGGGATCGCAGGATCCTTGGGATCAGATTCCTTGGGCTCAGATTTCTCCGGCTCAGATTCCTTGGGCTCAGATTCCTTGGACTCAGATTTCTCTGGCTCAGATTCTTTGGGATCAACTTCTTGATGAATTACATCATCAATTTGGGTCGCATGATCCTTGGGAGCAGAATCCTTTGGATCAGATTCCACATGAACTTCATCATCATCAATTGGAGGCACAGAATCTTTGGGATCAGATTCCACATGATCTTTTTTCCCCTTTTTTCCCCTTTTTCCCTTTCTTCCCTTTCGACCTTTGGTTTCTCTCTTTGTTCGTTGTTTTTTGGAAGGTGGATCTGTCGATCCAAAGGCAGTGTATGGACTTTTAACAGCCTTTTTTCTTTTGCGCATCGGTCGTTTACTCTGTTGAACCGACTCCTTAGGAGCAGCAGGAATCACCTTCCTCCTCAGCAGAAGCCGCTCTAGGAGAAACATGAATCTCTTCATCCTTCTCTTCATCACCATCAGATTTCGGCTCAGATACCGCTCTAGGAGTAGCAGGAATCCCCTCTTCATCATCATCAGATGTTGCTTTAGGCGTAGCACGAATCTCTTCTTCTCCCTCTTCATCAACATGAGATGTTGCTTTTGGCGTAGCAGGAATCTCTTCATCATCATCAGATTCCCGCACAGATTCATGCCCTGCGTATAACCAATTAAACAATTTAACAGAGTTATATGTTCAAACTCGTCATACTAGTCAAACTCTCCAACCCAAATAATTGAGACGAGTGTGACCATGTATGACTATACTAGTCACACTAGTCAAACTCGTTAACCCAAATAAGTGTGACTGGTGAGACCATATATGACTACACTTATTACACTATTCAAACTTTAAACAAAACTAAATATTAAACTGTATGACTTTACCTCGCTCATGCTTTGAAAAAGCCACATTCTCTTCTGAAAAACGAGATCTCAATTCGAACTCGGTGTTCGTGTTATAGTGACTACCCGTTGAAACATCATCCTCTTTGTTGCGCTTTATCTCAGACCAATCTGTTGTTTCAACGGTGATTCCTGCTCTCTTTAGAACCCTTTCAAGTTTTTTAATTATCCTTCTTTCGATCTTTTCAGTTAACCTCCTTTCGACTTTTGCAATTATCTTTTTTTCCAATATCTTTTCAAAAGATATATTTTTCCCTTCTTCTCCTCTTTCTTCTTCTTCTTCTTCTTCCTCTTCTTCTTTTTCTTCTTCTTCTTCTTCTTCTTCTTCTTCT